ATTTCATTTAGAGTTAAGGCTTGGAGTCCTGTGTATTTTAATTTCATTTAGAGTTCAGGCCAAATGATGATTTGCCTAGTGAGAAAAAGATGCAAGATCACTATACATACCTCTTATCTTTGCAAAAGAATGAAGGAAGCAATATTGAGATGCTGGCCCTCTACTTGTACACCAAGCCAAAGCTATCCAAAACACCATCTCCACATAAAAAAGTAAATTTTTTTAAGCTGCTTGAGGCAGGAAGCATTTTATGTGTAAGCAGACTGAAATGATAAAATAATCATCTAGTAGAATTTATTCATACAAGTATGTAAGCTAGAAATTTTCACTGAATGAACACTATTTTAGATGGTGATAAAAGAGTCCATAATCATGTGTTTAAAAATAAATCAAGTAATTTGTTTTCCTTTTTAGACACAAATTGAAACAGGGCAGTGAGCTTACAAACAGAGCTTTATGGTCATGCATAATACAAGCACAATTTCTTTCAAATAATCTTCTCTACACAGTCAGATCTGAATCTAGTATGTTCCTTATTTTCAGTATTATTCTGCTGCAGGACAAAGAACTCTGAAGTAACCTTTTGCATACTGCCAAGTAAATGATGTATTTCAATTCAGAATCATTATTATCTCACTGGCATTTTGTTAATATATTTTTTATTCCTGAAAGCAAACTGCTACCCCCATTTCTTAAATTCTTTACTAGTTCATTACACGAAGGACAAAGACATACACACACTTAGAGGACTGTGTTTCTGTACCAAATAAGGTGTTCTGTAAGGAAGAAAGAGGTAGCCTGTTCTCTGTTTTGGAATCAAGGACACTAACAAGATGTTGAGACTAGAAAGAAAAGGAAGCAACAGTTTAAGAGCAAAATGTTTCACCATTCAATACTATATTTTCAATGCACACATTTCTTTTATAACTATTTCCTCATATCAGTGTATATCAAATGGTTACTCAGGCATTGAGTCTGTAAGAGTGACTCAAACTATTCTCCAGCAATTAATCACTACAGAGGAACAAGGATTTGTTCAGTTTAAAGAGACTGAATGCCATTACAACTCACTAAGTCTGACAGAAAGCTTAAACAAACAAAACTCTGGATCTTGGAATAGCTCATGGTTTTCTACTACTGCAATTAAGATACACCTAGAAAATTCCATACTGAAAGATGACTAATTGCTTTAACTCCTTTCTAGTTTTGCCAGCAATTGTAATGCCTCATTAAGCTTTTAAATGAGTAGAGGCTGACTTTGCATTAGCTGCACAGACCTACTGCACAACTACAATCTAGGAAGACTGTATGTCGTCTCCAGCCTTCATGAAATCAGTTGATGAAAACATGCTAGGAAAGACATTTTACTGAGGCAGTGGTTCAGATTCTTACTCAAGTTTTTAATCTCAACACTGTCCCTTAAATATAGGGACTAGGAAGTCAGGGACTCGCTCATTTAAGATTGATGTATTTCAGATTGCAAGAGATAATAAAATAAAATAGCATGAGGCCTGTGTTCATCTGATTGAGATGAATTATCACTTTACTATACATCTCATACATGTAAAACCAATTATGTTTGACAGTTTTTGCTCACTTATTAGCCTGAAGTTAAATTGGGTCTGTCTAAACTTCCACATATCTTCCCAAATCAAAATTCTTGGGTTAATTAGGACAGGGCTTCATGACTAGTTTGACCCAAACACTTCTCCACAAACCAGTCTCATTCTCCTCTACCAGGGAGAGGCTCTCATTCCCTTCCTCAGGCTAAAATGCTAGTCTTTTCTTATAGTTTCTGGTTGGATCAGATTTCCTGATCCACTCCAGTCTCAAATATAGTAATGCCCTCTCCAAGGAACAGGAGTGAAAATGAGGTTTGTAGCACAAAGGAAGACCAGCCATCTATTAAAGCTCAAAGCTTTTTCCTCAGAAAGGGGAAAGAAAAAAAGACTCCATCATGCAGGAAGACAACAAACTGGGTTTTATACTACTAGACTTAGGAAATATCAGAGAGTCTGCTCTGTAATACAATCTGCAGTCACTTTAAACCTTTAGGTTTTTATTTTTGTAGACAGCTGTGGTCAGTTGACCTTGACTGGGCACCAGGTGTTCAACAAGCTGTTCTATCAGTCCCCTCTCTGCAGCATGGGAGGAAGAATAAGATGGAAAAAAACTCATGGGTCAAGATAAAGTCAGTTTAATAAAGCAATGTTCATGTGCACAAGCAAAGGAAAAACAAGATATTTGTTCTCCATTTCCCACCAGCAGGCCATGTCTAGGCACTTCCCAGGAAGCAGGGTTTCAGCACATGTAGCAGTTGCTCCAGAAGACAAATGTCATAATGTCCCCCACTTTTCAGCTTTTATTGCTAAGCATGACATCATATAGTATGGAATATCCCTTTGGTCAGCTGTCCTGGCTGTGTCCTCTCCCAAGATCTTGCCCAGCCTGCTGGTAAGAGGTGGGGGAAATGTTAGAGAGACAGCCTTGGTGCTGTGCCACCACTCCTCAGCAGTAGCCAAAACCCTGGTGTGTTGTCAACACCTTGCTGGCTACCAATGCACAGCACAGCACTGAGGGCTGTTGTGGGGAACTGAACTCCATCTCAGCCAGACCCAATACAATAGTAGTTCCTGAACCTCACCCTCCCTCAGCTTCTCCAGTCAGTGACAATCTTTATCAAACCTAGTATACCCCACCACAGTTTGAATGTCATGGCCATTCTACATTCATGTAGAGCTTTAGAAGAACACAAGCTACATGCAGAACAAAGTGCTTATACATAGCAGCAATAGTTCAAGCAGAAATTTAGACATTCTTGAAACTAATCTGCATAGGACCCTGATAAGATTTATGCAGTCAGAGTGCCAAAGCTTCAGAGTTTGGTTTTCATTCTGCTATTGAATCTGAAAACTAAAAACAAGAAAAAGCACAATAGCTGTTTAGAAGGAAATCTACCTCCACTGGCAGTTTCCCCAGTAAAGTAGGTATTTAAGGAACTAGCATTTGAACGTAAGACCACCCTTCTATGCCATACTAGACAGACTCAAGAATCAGCTTTTCTTTGTCCATTAGTGACAAACTGCATGTTATATTGCATAGACTCAGTAAACTTACAGTTGAAGCCAAGTGAACATGAAATTGCATCTTGTTTGACTAGTCATCAAAATTTATCATGTTTTGATCTAGTCAAGAAGCACCAAACAAACAGGCTATGCATATGGTTCCACTGGCTAGTTACTGGATTTGTGCAGCTACAATTAAAGTTTAGAAAAAGACAATAGACTGGAAATTAAACAACTTTTAAAAAGTGAGTTTACAGTTTAAATGGAGCTGTTCAAGTGACTGCATAAGAAGATTATTGTCATTCCAGGTTAGCTAGAAAGGTCAACAACTCAAACAAGCCAGCCAGGAACATGGATGGGGTGCATCCTTCTTTCTGAAGTGCTACAGGCTTTCAGAAAATAATTAAAGTAGCAATTAAGCTTTAAGTGTCCAATAAATCTGCACAAGCCTAATGGACACATTCTTTACAGTGCTGCATGGTAGCAGGATAAGAGACCATGGACATAAGTTGAAGTTAGAAAGGTTCAGACTAGATAAACTCTCAGGGAACAGTCAGTGCATTGAAACAACTTTCCCAGGGCCAGTCTCCATTGTTGAAGGTTTAAGACCAGACCACATGAAAGCCTAAGCATCCTGGTATGACCTTGCTTACAAGGCTTCTTAGAGCCCTTACATTTGAATCTTATGATCTTAAGCTAGTTAAACCCAGTTTTAGCTTATGCCAAGCCTTACTGTGGTAACTTAAAATAAGCCTTTAACATAACAGCTAATAGAAGATCAAGTTGTTTTCAAATGTCAATGAAAGCATTTGCGTATAGGGTGGGACACATGATGTGAAGATTCATGTTCTGAAAAGCATACACCAACAACATACATAAGATGCCCAAATATATTTATTTGTCTCTTAAAAAGTACGTTACTCTTTAGAAAAAAAAGACAGCCTAGGAAATATCAATACAGATTAAGTATATCCAATCTGGCACATACTTCACACTGATGTTTAAGTAAACATCAGCACCATCAGACCAAGCAAGGTAAGACTTCTGAAGTCAGTAGCAATGAGGTACCAGGACAGAAGAAACCCTTAAAATAAAGAGGACCTTCAAAGCCTTTCAGCCAAGCAGAGCCAGAGTTCCAGAATGTATTCAAGAACTGAAATCTTTCTAATCCTTTTGATCTTCATTTGCTGCCAAAAATACGTTTGAGCTATAACAAGGAAGCATAAGCATCTCAGTATACGGTTACAAACTGGTAAGCCAGTTCACCAGCTCCAAGTAGTCAGAAGAGTGCAGCACTGTTCTAAAATTGAAAGAGATAGAGCTTGGGAGGGGGGGAGGTTGATAGGCTAGGAAGAACCAGTTAAGATTTTTCCTTCAAGACCTCTCTCCTTCCTCATGGTATTCAGAACCATCTCAAGACAGAAGGAAAGAGGCAAGTTCATCATCACAGGACAGTAAGATATTGACTTTTTGTATTCTTGGTAAAGTTTTCAGTGTTAGTGCATGAAAAAAGTTACTGGTTGTTTATCTCTGGATGTGCATATGGGTGAGGTTACCATAACTACGTGCCAGCAGTACAACTGTATTCATTAATGTGTTTCATATGTAAAGTATTAGCTGAAAATATTCTGCCTTAAGTGTCTGGAGATGCATTTTTGTTAGTATCTCTATAACCATGCCTCTCCCCTGTTAAGTACAGTCCTTTACCCATCTTATTCAGTGGTAAGAGCCATCTACTTCACTCGGTCCTAGTGAACACACTAGGATAGATACCTCCCATTTGTCATTGGCCTCCTCAAAATTTCTGGGATGTCTTGATCCAGGAAAACTAGCAATGAGACAGTTCCTTATGGTGGGGGATAATAAATAGGGACAAGTGTGTAGGTGAGAAGGCTAAAGTGGGACATTCCTTTGTCACCAGTAAAAGTTTACTTTAAAGGTGCAAGTGTCTATTCAGCTAAAACCATGACAAGTGAGTCCTATTTGGAATGTAGCATATGTCCTAGAAGCAAACTAGACACTGAATGTTGTCTTTGTTCCTTTTTAGAAGTGTAAACACTACCTTATGTTCTCAAGAAGACACTAATCAGACTTGGATGCAGCCACTCAAGTGAGTAGAGTGTTAACTCACAAGATACTCAGTTTCATGCTAAACAAGAATATGTAAACACCCACAAGAATCACCTATTCAGATAATACCAGACACCCCATATGGATTGTCACAACGCAGCACCATAGCAGCAGTTTGATTTAAGGAACAGTCTTGATGCTCATCCTATCATGTTTACTGAACAGTGGTAGCATTAGCAGCACTGGGATTTACTCTCTGCTTTCAATGGGTCTAGGTCCAGTTTTGGTTTCCCCACATCATTCTCTTCATTAGGAAAGGTTTTGTAGTTGGCAAGGATGTTTTCCACCAAGAATCGAGCAGCTTCATCTATGTTGATGTTGTCCTAAAAATGTTGAAAGCACAGAAGTCAGTGATTTTTTTAAGTAGTCACACATTCCTATTAGAAGCTGGCCAAATACAAAAATTCTACAGTCTCATCAGCATGACACAAACAGCTTAGATGCATCAGGTCATTCCTCATACACTTGCTTTTTGAAAAACGGTTACCTGAAAGGTTTGAGACAGTTATTTACCCTTATTACAAATAGGATACTTCAACACTAATCTAGTAGGCAGTCAGGGGATAAGCATCACCTGCATTTAGAAGCCTCCCAAATGCCAAAGTGCATTTCTGCATCAGGAAAGATAATGGGCAATTACAGTGTTCATAGTAGTGGAGTCTTTTTCTGCCTCTGCTGCAGTTTGGACGCACTTAAATGTAAAAGCACCTTTTCTATCAGCCTCAAAACCCCAGCTAAATCAGGGTGCCTCATCTAGCCACTCTAGATTTTCTTGTGCATGCTTTGAAAAGTACCATCCTGTGCATTCTAAAGAAGATGTGTATGCAGGATACCCGATGAAATATATCTAAGTACCTCAGTTACGAAGGAGCCAAGCTGGCCAGTGCCAAGGGGCCTGTGGCCACAGCTTTGACCTGGCTGGGCCACCTGTTAGCTCACCACAGGGCTGTCATGTTTGGAATTGCTTGTCTTTTGGAACCAAAGGAAATACTAGCCCAGTACACTCTTCTGTCTCCGTAATTGTAGATCTAAACTCTAGACAAGCAAAGTTAGATCACGAGAACATTTGTCCCATCACTAGTGCACTTCATGAGCTTGTGGTTGTCAGCCACAAACTGCTTTTGACAGTTTGCAGATAGGCACTTTTCCCTGCCCAGAGTGGAAGAAGATTCTCCTATTTTAGTGTAAGGATGTTAATTGATATTTCCATGAATATTTATACTCTGCAGTTCTTTTGCCTTTAATATTCTTCTCTAATGCACAGGGATTGGGTCCTATGTTACTGATGACTAGACTGATGATTCAAGTATCAGTTCTAGAAATGCAAAAGCAGATTATCAGGATACTTAAGTGGGCAGGATTTAAAACCATAAACTAATTTGGTATGCTCAGAAAACCAAATTTTTGCTAAGCAACTTTAACTACACCTCCTCAGAGTCCTAAACAAGTTAATTCATAACCGAACGAGGGCTAATATTGTCTGGACTTTTCTCTGCGCAGAGAGCCTTGTTTTACATTGCCATGTCTTAAATGCCACCTAGAATGCAAGCTGTCACTACACTTCCACATTAGGTTTTATTCCAGTGTTACTTGCATTTATTTTTAACCCAGGTTGAAGTTTATACAAGAGCAGTGTTATGGGTAGGTGAAGCTTCAGGAAAGACACAACCAAAAGAATCTTGGTATTCTTTCAGTATAAAGCACCTTAGAGTGTGAGGTTTTAGTAACAGATAGGTGGATTTGGGAATTATTTGTTCAAATGCAAACAAATGATTAGCTAATTTAATGAATTTGTCACTGTGTACCCTTCTTAAGTGATCAAGAAGCTTGTTACTTTATTTCTTATATTCCTCTTACAGACTTTTTTTTCTTTAAAAGAGTTGCCTAAGCATAATTTTGTGCCAGTTCATCAGCAGCAGTTAAAGAAAGTAGGCAAGCCAAGGGCAAAGAGAGACCTTGAAGTTTAGCTTGCCATATGAAGGAGTTACCAGCCAGACCACTAATTTGGTCTCTCAGCCACACTGTCTTCATCTAGAGGAACCTTTCATTTTAAGGATCAATTAGATTAAGGAGCTGTTGGATTTCACTTCCAACTATACTACCACAAGCTTATCTGTGCATTGGCCAAGTTTGTAGACTGAAAGTGTACAAGTTGCCCAAAGTTATCTGTTTGAATAAAGCAGCTGTCTATCTTAGCTTAAGTTATTATATAAAACCAACTTATTTTTCTCTAGTCTTGACACTGAATGATAAAAGAGTGCTTTAATGACATTATCATCTGGATAGGTAGTAAAAAAGTGAGCAAATAGCTTGCTTACTTCTAGAGTCTTACCACTTCCTACACGCAACAGTGAAGATAGAAGCTGCAATTTAAAAACCTGCACCTAAAGATTACTTGTATCCTTTGGATACTTTGATCAGCATTTAGTAGTATTAACATCTAAATAATGACTCTGATCCTGATGCATGCAAAATGAAAAAAAACTTAGCAAACTCAGTTAATCAATGTTTCCAGTGAGTTTTACGGTTCTGAATTTAAGATGCAGTTCTAATCTAAACCAAATATGCTGCAACTCTTCCTCAGGGATAAGCTAGCCTGCACACCACTTACAACTTTTGCTGAACACTAGAAACTTGACTGTCACTTCCTATACTTGATAGTTTTATTCCCCACATGACTAAATTCATCCATTCTTATGGAAATACTTAGAAGAATTAAAACAGGTTGTTTCTTTATGCTCACCTTGGCAGATGTTTCAAACCATCCAACAAAGCCACCTTCTCTGCAGAACTGGTCCATTTGAGAGGGATTCTGGCTGCCATCCTTCTTCTGGTCACACTTATTTGCAAGAAGAACAGCAGGGATGGGGCTGCCATCGGGAAGTAGTACTTTACTGTCCAAATCATGCTTCCATTTTGAAACAGCCTCAAAAGTGGAGCCTCTTGTGACATCAAAGACCACAAAAGCACCAACTGCCTCTTTGTAGTATACTCTGGTCATATTTCCAAAGCGCTCCTGGCCTGAAAGAAAACAGTGACAGAGCATATGTATATTTAAGCATGAACTGCACTCACTGTAAAGGAACTTCTGTACCAGGTTAGTACATACAAAGTTTGGCATTCAGGTCTAGTGACCTAGTTCATACAACATTGCCTCTTCTATCTTATGTAAGCTCATTGTAATAGCCATTACGTATATAATACATGACAAGCCAGATGCTAAAAGCAGTTTGCAATCCCAACTACCACTTTGAACTTTTTAAGCTTATTTATTGAATAGTGTTCTTTGAGAAGTAATACCTAAAAACACTAGCACAACTATACACAAGTCATTCTTACATCAAAAAAGTTTCTGCAAGATTTAGATATAAATCTAGTTACTTCAGCCAGAGACTTAAGCAAACTCAGAGGCTTTTTCTGAAGTGTGAGCAACAAGGATTTCTACAAGCTCCAAGGCTAACAGCCTTCAAAACATCATCTGAAGAAACATGCTGGTTTTGGCTGAGAGAGTTTGTTTTCTTCATAGTAGCTAGTATGAGATTGCATTTGGGATTTGTAATGAAAACAGTGCTGATAATGTTTGTTTGATAACACAGAGATGTTTTTGTTATTGCTGAGCAGTGCTTACACAGAGCCAAGGCCTTTTCTGCTTCTCCAGTGAGGAGGCTGGGGGTGCACAAGAAGCTGGGAGGGGACACAGCCAGGACAGCTGACCCCGACTGACCAAAGGGATATTCCATATCATATGACGTCATGCTCAGCATGTAAAGCTGGGGGAAGGAGGAGGAAGGGGGAGACAGAGTGATGGTGTTTGTCTTCCCAAGTCACCATTACATGTGATGGAGCCCTGCTTTCCTGGAGATGGCTGAACACCTGCCTGCCCATGTGAAATGGTCAATGAATCCCTTGTTTTGCTTTGCTTGTGTGCATGGCTTTTGTTTTACCTATTAAACTGTCTGTATCTCAACCCATGAGTTTTCTTGCTTTCACTCTTATGATTCTCTCCCTCATCCCACTGGGGGGGGGAAGCGAGTGAGAAGCTACATGATGCTTCTCTGCTGGCTGGAGTTAAACCACAACACGAAGTCACATATATTATCGATTTTTCTTCCTTAGGGATCAGCTCAAAAGAAGCTAGTTTAACAGTTCTAGCTAAACCCATTATCTTTGACTTCATCTTTTAAGTCTAAGACCTTCTCTGGAATAGTTTCCAACTATAGGAGTTCCGCAGCAATCCCAGAATTTGAAACAAGATTATCAGAATAGTGAAAGCACAATTACTTACAACAAAAATCCCGAAGAAAACAAATGGTCAGTGAGTATAGCAAACTAAAAAAGCCCGTTTTTATTAAGTACAACTAATTCTGATTTCAAGTATACTGACTACAATAGACTGCCAGTTCACTTATTCTTCTGTTTGGAAGGTCGGACCACCATGCTGTGTGTGTACACGAATGCAGTAGCAGTATCAAGTATTAACATGTCGCTTGGGAAGCTTGGGCTACTAAAATAACTGTCTGCTTTGTTCGAAGTTAGTTTTACAATGTATCATCACTTCAGCTTTTAGCATTTAGTGCATATGCTGTTTTAGAATGGATAGAGAAACAATTTTAATGGGAAACATAGTTGTTCTCTGTTTATAAACATTCAAGTGCTCCTTCCATCAGCAAGGACAAACAGTTGCAAGAACTAGGTATTACCATCTTCTCAAAAAGAGACAGAAATTCATTAGGTGAAGGAACTTGACAAGGGATCCTGTTCAACAGCATGCTTTTCTAGCTCAATTGCCTCATTTTAATATCAGTACTTCAATGTACTGATTAGCTCATTCCCTATAGACATTTTCTGAAAAGGTTGACTAAGCAGCTATTGAAATTGCCTGAAAGCAGCAGCAGCTACAGTGACATTCCAGAGAACTATGAAACTCTATAAGTTGACTTTATTTCTGGCTGTTCAACTTTAAAGTATGATGCTACATAAAACAGCATCACTAGCCAGCATATTCTAAGTGGAAATTACACATTAATTTCTTCACTAACAGCTTATTACCCCCTGTGGGAGAACAAGGAGCATGCAAGAGGAAAGCTCTTCCCTCCATATTCAAAGCTCAAATTCTGAAGCAGCTTTTATGCCATGGACTGTAAGGCCAACAAGCTAGACACTAAGCCTGCATGTCAGTGACAGTGTCACTGGAAGAGACACATTGCTAATACACATTGCTAGGTCTCCTAAACAGCGTACAGAGAATTTGTATGCAAGTAACTCACACTGTCTCCCTAGGCCTTTCCAGGTTGGATTCTTATGCCTAAAAGGTGTTTTTGCTATAGCCTTACTGCAAATTGGTGTACCATGACCCCACTGTTTTCATGAATCAAAGACCTTTAGGAAAGAGTTCAGCCAGAAGGCTTTTACTACTTCTGCAGATCAATTGTGCCACATCTAAAGAAGCTTTACCTTTACATTTTGGTGATTTTTTTTTGGGGGGGGGTGGTGTTGTTGGTTTTGGGGGGGGTTGTTTGTTTTTTAAACTGGAGCTGCACAGGGTCAAATTTAGTTATACTAAGCCAGTCACTGCATACAGCACCACACAAGCTATGAGGAGCTCCTTCTCAGCTTCCCCATTTGCTTAGCCATCAGTCTCACCATCGATTCCAGTTACACAGGAACTCCTCCAACTGTGCTAAAGCACTGAGTCTTATGTCCAATTGAGGCAGTATATCCCTTCACACCATAGGACAGGCTCACACAAACAGCATAATGTCAAGGTCTACAGTGCTCTGTACAAGCCTCAGTCTTCTACAGAAAGATTTCTTCAGTTTGGCCCCAAAGTGGTCTAGAAAAGGACACCACTTGCTGTTATTTACATGAGACCGCACATGAACCCGAAGCAGTGAGGGGAACAGTCCCATTAGTCCTCTCTATTCAGCAGATGGCAATCTGTGGGGTTTTGTTGTTTTTTGTTTGTTTTTTTTTTTTAAAGCTGTAAGTTTTTCTGAAAACTTAATGGACATTTATATAGTAAAATTAAGTTGTACTGATTAATTGCAGAGAGGGTTGCTAGACTATTACCAGCAAGGAGTAGAGCTAGTTTTCACATATAGTGATTATGCTAATTTATTTGGGAATTGCAGAAAAGGTTATCAGGCAGTTACCATTTCTCAGATACCTGTGCATGCTGTAGGTAAACATCCTTGAGATAAGTTACCACAGTGAAGGATATTACTATTGACTGAATCCCTTCCTGCCTACTGTCCTCCCATCAAAAAAGCTTTAAAAGGTAAGAATAGTTAGCAAGAAGGCCATACCAGCCTCCTATAGCAGGAACCCTTGCTGAAACTTACACAACAATGCATTTAAGGTAAAGGAAAGAAATCGAACTGGTACAGCATCACACATAGGTTCTGAAGAAAAGAAACAAAGTTACAAAATATATCATAACCAAACCTGAAGAGTCCTAAACAACACCAAATGTTTTTTCTTAAAGTAGTAACAGGGGCCTAGCCTTGGCCAGAAAGTCTGGTCACTCAGATAAGTTTGTCAATTCCATTTCCTAGGGAATTCCCATCATCTTACTATAGTCAGTCTTCCCCACCCAACTGGCCCAACACCTTTATATACCATGAGCTGGAGAGCTGCATTACTCATAACCAACCAAGATTGCCTGGCAGGTGGTTCCTTGACATTGGTGACTTCTCATGCCCCAGTATCCCCCAGCCTGTGTGAAGCTTTAACACCATGCAGCCTCTTGCCAGGCATGCTATACCAGAAAGGCAACGATGGTCTTGTAACACAGCAGCAGACTACCTGAATTCCCTCATGGGGTCCTGACCAGGAGAGAGGCCACTGCAAGCGGGGTTGTGCTAACTGGCAGATTCGGGAGCTCCGGAGCAATGCAGAAGCTTTGTTAGCTTTGTACAGTAGCTTTGCTCATTGTGTGAGAAGACAGCAGCTCTGGTAGGAACATAAGCCTGCGCTCAACTGTACTTTGTTACCTAGTCACTTAGAAAGCATGGGCTTCTGCTGTCCAGAAAAATCATCAAAGTATTATTTCTAACTGGCTTTATTAATAGACATCAAAATTTTTGCTATTATAGTATGAGTTTTAGATTTCAGAAACCATTAATACATATTCTTCTGTAATTTAAATTTTGGGTGACAGTAGACAACTGATGTCCATATTAGTATAAAAGCCTCTGTCTTTACTTATTAGATTTAAGCTTTACATTAGGAAGATTTGATACCCCTTACCTCTAAAACACACACAAGCTCAACACCACTTAGTATTACAGATGAATGCCTTTTAATAGGTGAAGTACACTCCAGTATGAGTGCTGCCCTTTTCTGAAGTAGCCCAAAATTCCAAAACAATTTATTATAGAGCTGCCTTCACCTCTGGAATTCACATCTGCTAACAATAGATCTGACCTGCACACTAGCTTATGACTGTTCTTCCATTCTGTCTGGAGATCTAATGAGGATGAATATATTATTTTTATTCCATAGGAAGAAGACAGAAGCAAGAACACATGGCCTGCATAAGAGGTAAGAGTTTTGTTGTGGTAAAAGGTATATGGCATAAGGCTGGAAGAGAATTCAGTATGAACTGAATAGGCTTTCTTTACAATCTTGTTATTACTGACAATGCACATGCTTTAGGCTGAACTTCTTGTGGGGGATGCAGAGCATTCTAGACAGCCTTTTGAAAATTTAACAGGACTTTCAGGCAAAGGTTTTGCAAGTGTTTTTCTGCTTGCAAAAAAATTCATACAGAAAAAGCAAACTGTAGAATACACCACTCCTCCAAAGTCTGGCGTATGAACATCATTCTCTATTTAGGATATTAAAACTAAATTGAGTAATTTTTTTGCCATGCTCAGTTCAGCCAGGGATTTGTCATTCCTATGTCCAGCAGGATTTTTGCAGTAGTCACTTCAGCATGTGTGAGAACAGTGTTGAGCTGTACCAAAAGTGGATCACACCCCAGAGGGGAAAAAGGCTAAAAATGATCAGGTGAAACTAGA